TAGGTGGGCATGGATTTTTAAAAAATCTAGATTAATCTTGGAATTAGTCTAGATTTAAATGGCTCATTTGAATTCTGCCAAATGCATTTAGTATATGTGTGCCACCCCAAAAATAAGTCTTTGAGAACAGGTTTCTCAAGCCAGGTGGCGCATTACACCAGGGGCTCATCTCCTGTTTACAAAATGCATCACAAACTGCTTGAGAAACTGTTCTACTATAATAATTGGTGATGAAAATAAATTATGTTCAAAAAGATGTACTTGTGTTTACTGACTGTTTATTCAGTTGACCTTGAATTTTGAACTAAAGGCCTACATAAGCTCGAATCAGCGATTTTTGATCACCTTAATCCGACTACAGTCATAACTGAACTAAACAGAAATGGAATTATGACATGAGGAGTATGTAGATATTAGTGGCATTATTGAAGTAAACACCGCAATCAAACTACTACCGTCATGTAGGACTTTTCGCCATATTTTCGCCATAGATCCACACATGTGGCTATCGGTAAAGGACCGCGCACACACACACACACACACACACACACACACACACACACACACACACACACACACACACACACACACACACACACACACACACACACACACACACACACATCGTTAGTCGGTTAGTCGGTTTTTTTGCTTTCCATTTGGCATGCATTATTAAAATCCTTAACACTCTTACCAGTCCTTACTGCTTATTTTATGTAGAATACCCTTGTTTGTCACAAACGCATGAATGAAATGTTCATGTATAAAAGTGAAACTGCTGAACTGCAGTTAAAGTCAGGCATCCTGCTGATTTGATTCAGATGGCTCACCGTTCAGGTATATATCTGCGGTAAAATATCAAGGTCAAAGTCATCATAGCTTGCGTAGAATAGACCCAACTCCCAACCCAACTTTGAGAATAGATTAACAGAAATATTTTTTTATTGCGCAATAAGAGTCTCGGCCCACCACTAGTATGACACTACTTTTTATAAATTTGTATTATCTAAACGTATGACCCTTTCCGGTATTAAATTTGAGGTGCTAGACTGTAGCACTGAGTTAATGAAGACATAAGGACAGATGCCTTGCAGAGAGTAATAATAAATGTACGTCCTGCAGCTGTATGTATAATTTACAGAGCGCACGTTGTCATGACATGCAAATGAGAGCGTGGAAAAAGTGCAGAGCCATGCACGCATTCAAATCGATTTCATAATCTTGCATATTGTTGGTGGCTTTGTCACATTATAGACTACACAATATCATTATGTTATATAAACGGTAACTTAGGTTGGTCTACAATTACATTCCTAAAGACGTCTGGAATGAAGCAGCTCCTTTCCTTCAATGACAATGGAGACACCCCCCTCCTCCTACAATAAATAAATAAATTAATTTCTGATTTATGCAAATTACAGTGGTCACCCCATTGAGCTTGGAAAATATGGAAATCCGTATTTATACGGAAAAATCTCATCCCTAAGTGTTTTCAAAAGCACCAATTGATGCGCGCTCCCTCACTTCTCTAAACCCAACCAACAGTTTTAAAAAGCATTCCAGAAAAAGCATTCTCACCCTGTTATTCTCTTGTTTATTTTGAGTTTTGGCTTCTGTTTTTGAGTTACCCACTTTATGGAACCGTTCTTTACCGGACTCGAACCCTGTCGTCGTGGTCAACTCCTTTCTGCTTTTCAAGTTCACAGACGTACATGGCAAGCTAACTGGACAAACTGGTAACAGTGGGAAAGCCGTCTACATGGAGGTAAGCGATCTGGTGATAAGCTCAAAAAGGAACGGGGCCACACCGCCTCGTAGCAGTCATGCAGTACTTCTGGCTATATAATTCACATTCTTCAGAAAGGTATATAGGGCTACGTTTCCAGAATGGACCTGTTTTAAATTACGCTGACACAGTCATGACAATGTAAGACATGGACCTCTTTGAATAGTGAGCTCTTAAGGGAAACTTTCTTACAGTGACTTTGAAAACACCTTTCTGAGGAGATCAAATTAGCACTGGAGGCTTTGTTGTCATCCGGTGGCTCAAGATCAAACCGTCCGTGATGTGCACTTTCTGTCAGGCCGAGGAAATCTTGACAGGATGATTAATTAAAACCAGAGACTGGAAAAACTTTCATTTGTGGCATATCTAAATCCTTTTGACTACTTTGAAAAACACCCATCTTACACAGACAATTTGAGTTTCAGCTGTTCTAAGAAGAAAACTGCCTCTGATGTGTGTTTACAGATTTTGGTGGTTTGATATAAAGTCAGGTACAATAGATGATTTACCCAGACCACCTTAGCTGAAAGCATGGCCAAAGTGTAAAATGGTTGGATAATCACAGATTTTGTCTTCTTTTTTGCCTTTTTCTACTGTTATATAAAGTTGGGGATTGATATTTTTACAGATTTGGCTGATCAGACAGATAATTATTTTGCTTTATTCAACAAACAATACACAGTCAGCCTCTCCTACCCAGAAAAGACTGAACGGTCAGTTTGTAATTCAATTCCAAGGTAATTACATCATAAAAAGGAATGTGCTCGGAAATGAACAGAAACATAGGGCCTACTCACACTATGCCATTCGTACCGTGCCCTGGCCCGTTTCCCGGATCGTTTGAGAAGTGTGAGTGGGCTGAATCGGGCTCAAGCACGGTTCACTTGGCCGGCCCTGGCCCGGTTGGAAGAGGTGTGCCTGAGCGCGGTTCACTTGGGCTTTGGCACGGTACGCTTGTGTGTGAGTGCAAAACGCGCCAAAGCCCGAAACTGAAAACGAGACGTGACTTTTAAGGGACTGTTTCATATGGATTTAATTAATCATTCTTACTGTTCAGTGAACGCAAACTGCCGTAGTTTATTAAAGACAAGAACTCCTCACAGCATGACAGCTGCACGCCTTCAGCAGATCTCCTCATTCCTGCAGCACGAGGGCTTTATGATTGTTTTTGAGCGCCAAAAGTGGCGGATCTGTTTGGCGAAATATCTGACTGCGTGTCACCGCATCCCTAAGGACTGTTTGGCGAAATATTTGACTGCATGTCACTGCATATCAAACGACTGAAACGATATAACTAGAGAAATCTCCACTGTGCTGCTGAGTGAGAGAGCGCTTCTCACTGAACAGCGCAGCAGCGATGACGTAAGCGCACCGAGGCCCATTTGTGGTGTGAGTGCGAGGCGTTGGGGGAGATGGGAGGGGGGACAAGCGTAGCAACTGTACCTAGTGTGAGTACGGCCATAGTCAAGCTCCTATACGCTCCTTGCTTAAGACTTATGCTTTTAATGCAAACCTTTATTCCCTCTTTATGTTTTGCAACAAGTCTCTTGCTCGTGCGTTAATATTATGGTTTTAATCCTCCAGCAATCAATGTTTTAAATACTACCACAGCTAAACAAGATTATGGATAGTTCATGTTTGATGTCCTGGGAGAGCTAATTTGGTGTACTGAACAATTGTTTACATTTTATGCTATTACTTGTGCAAGATATTAACTATTTAAGAAACATATCTGCATCTCACCCATATGCAAAATTACCAAGCAACAACAAAGAACTATAAAACGTGCCTCGGGAAGTTAACTTTCTCATTGGTCAACTTAACTTTTGAGGGTGTTATTCGATCACCCTTATAAAAACTGGTGACTAAGGCCGCATCCCAGAGAACACCGGAGAACTTCAGAACAAGGACAGAGCAAAGTGATCAATCCAGAGACAGTTGTTTCGTTCCAGCTCAGGACAGCTTCTCTTAACCCAAAAATGGGTTAAGCGTATAAAGCTCAGAGATTCCCATCTCTGATATCTTTCTGTTCTTTTTCTGTCGAGAGTCTATTTAAGTTTAGTGTGCCGTGAAACCAGAAGTCAACACGACTAGTCCTTTTGTCGCCTCAAAAACTTGAAACGACAGACTCCAGCCCACTTCAAGGCACACAGGACAAACAGCCGACCATCAGCTCACCATGTGAGAACCACCACTCAATAGTGGGAGTTCTTCACATCACACAAGAAGGCAAGTAACACCTCCGGATTACCACTCAACTGGTGTAAACTAAATGTAACCCTAAAGAAACTATATAAGAGTTAAATTGATAATTTTTTGTTACCTTGGTTTTGGTAACTTGGTACACTCTCTCAAATTCTTTCTTTTCTTCATTTACGCTTCTCTACATCCTGTTTTAATGTGTCTTTGTGTTAGGCATTAGTTTCTGTTAGATTAGTAAATAAAGGGTAATTTTGTATAAAAAAATGTGCCTATGCATGTTTATTAATGCCTTAAACTCTGATCTTGTTACCCAGCTTTAACATAAATGGGTTTTTATTTTTGATAGCAATAGAAGTCAACTGTCTGTTTAAATGATCGCTGGATGATTAGTTTGTTCAGATTTAAAGAGTCGATTCTTTTGATAAATAAAAAAATTGGCAAACTAGAACACGGAAGCAGCTTGAAGTGGAAAGCGTGAGTATGTCTGCGGTCTGGAGGTATTATAAAGCTGATGACGACAATATTGCCATAGTAAACAGTAAGATATATAACTTTAGCATTGCCTGCTGGGTATTTTAAGTTGTGGTGCTATTTGTTTTTATTTTAGATTTTTTTTTTATATATTTACTATTGCACTACAGTCCAAAAGTGAAGAATTTATGTTATTTATTGCACGATTGTTTAAGCTACCTTACATAAATGCTCTGCTTCTTAACAGAGTTGTTGAATGTTAAAATAAGGTGAATTAAATAATAAATAACATCTTGGATCTTTTTCTTCACTCTTCTTAATTTTTAAAAATGTATTATAGAAGTATCGGATCGGGTATCGATAGATACTCAAAATAAAATGACTCGGACTCGGGACATCCCTAGCTTAAACCCTTACCTAACATGTGTGTAATTATATTACAGTACTTTAATTAGGCCATTACATTGTTATCACACTGTAAATTCTTATAAAAAATCTTATATATTTTTAACCAAATTAAGTAGTATTTATATATGCTTAC